CTCTTTTGTTTAATCGGATGCCTCAGAGAAACGAAAAACCCGTTACTAACTGTTCAAATTTACGACCGTGAATTCTTGTAGTATCTGAACAAATTTGAGTCAAGCGCTTTTGTAATATTTAATTTAAACAAGGTAATAAATGAACGAGTTTTTCATACCTTTTTGGATGAATTCAATAATGTTATGTATTGTTATTTTACGGAATTCCGAAGAAAAAATTTACAATATGTTTAGTAGTGTCTCTCAATGTGCAATGTAAATCAGCTGGGTATTACATGATCGTACAATTCTTATGAAATATTTAAAGGAAAGATAGGGAAATAGTTTCAATACTGAAAACTGAATCGATATCAACACGTATTGTTATTTAAAAAACGAAAACGTAATTGAAATATTTGATTAACAGAAAACCCATACCGGAAAGTTATTTGAAACGGTTTCATGCCTTCTTTTTTGCAAAAAAAATAACACATCCTTAAATTCTGTAACCGCTTCTGTCGTACGTATCCAACTTCTTTCAGAGACATTTTCTTATTCGAAGCAACTCACGAGTCCAATGTGGTACCAATGTGATCCTCTGAAGAAATGGATGGCGCTGCTTTTCTGCGAGGAATTACCTGAGGCTATTTTTATCTGTCGCCACCGCATCCGCCGCCGCTAAGGGTGGTTTTCCTTGGAAAGAAGGGTGCGCCCTTTTGTACTTTCCTGGAATTACCTCGAAATCCTTTAAGTTGAAGTCGTTGTGGATTAGGTACAGTCACTTCTTGAACAATAAACTCCGCTTTTCAAAGCATTGTGTGATTCAGCTCTGAAATATTTTAGGTTTTTAAAGTTCTTAACTTGTTACCGCTGGAATCGAATCCACTGTCATCACATATACTCATAAAAATTAATGAATTATTGTTTTTATTTTATTACATGCGGAACTAGCTTGAGAAACACGGCATTGCTCGTGCAGTTCTCACAATCAGTCGTAGCTGCCGTACACTGAATTACCCGAGGTTTTGCGCGAAGTTACTTAACACAAACACCACAAAACATTAAATATAACCATAATAAGTAATGTACAATTTTTTATTGAAGTTAGATTTTAATTTTTTAATATGAAAGTGTCCGCGTTGCTCTCGTGTGTTCATTTTTCAAAATATATTTGGCAAATTTATCTATTCTCTCCGTTTGCCCGCTTCTGTTGTAGTGAAACCTTCAATTTACGATTCTTACTTTCTGACTAAAATAAAAATTTACTCGTTTTTATGTTTTTTGTGGCGTTTTATACATCAAGCCAATATAATAAAGCCACATCCAATTTGCCACATTTTTTGTATCAAGTTTTTACATGTTCTTGATTTTTTTTCATTAATTTCATATCTCTTGTACACGTAATGATTTCATACATAGATTTAATTAGGATCAATTTTCAATATGCCTTTATAAATATCGTATGTATAAAGAAAACGGTAAAAGGTTATCTTTCTCAAGTAGTACAATTTCACAGTACACAATTGAATGTAAAATAAACAACCAGTAACCAGAGATATATTTTCAGTAGTTGTTTCGATAAAATTTGTAGTAATATTCCTCATTAGTCGATAAATTCTTCTCTTGTACCTTATGCTTCAATACACAGAAACTAAACGTACTCATATAACTCGTAGTCAGTTACAGTCAGGGTTGCCAGATCCGTTTTGGGAAAGTCTTCCATCTGAGAGGTATAAAGAGGTATAGAAGCCCGCCCAATTCCGCCAAATGACTGATGGTGAAAAAAGCGGCCTCTGGTACTGGAGCTGGTAGTTTCAAAATAACTGCACATTTTCAAATTGATAAACTAAATATTCTATTTCTTAAATCCTACCCATCATAAGCCATCAATACTGGTACAATTTAAAAAAAAAAGATGGACACGATTGCATGCGTGTTCAATTAAAAATATAAACATTTTTGAACACATTTGCAAATGTTCAAAACTAAAATTCCTGTGCATGGTGCATGTTGCAGAAGCCATCAATATTTGTACATTTATTAGGAAAAAGATTTAAGCGAAAACAGCAACGTGTCGCCCAATATCCTCCCAGAAAACAATGAATAGCGGGCGGAATCCCACAAAATGCATTTTCTTCCCGTAAGTCGACGCCTTTTTTTCGCCCAATTGGCGGAATTGTGCCCAATATGGCATCCCTGGTTAGTTCTGTTCTCGATTTACTTGTTTGATATTTTGTTTTAACAATGGGTAAGCTACCATAGTTATAGTCTACGTATACTCCTAAGCAATTTTGTTTTTTGCTTGTAAAGAAAAAAAAAACATTGTGGGGTAACATGTTGAAACGTAACTAGGCTGTTTCATTCTTTATCGCTCAAAAGTTTTCGTGCAACGGGAGCAATAATCCAATTCTACTAATTTTGGCATATACGGTCGTAAACATTTTATGTGAAGAAACAACATTTATTGAATTATATTTTTTACTTAACGAACCGCTATTGGTATTCTTTGTACATTTCTACAGTATAAGTTGCGGTTCAAGCCCAAATCTGGCTAATTCGTGAATGTTTACAGTATCCAAAATGGTTGGATAAAGTCCGAAGTAGGAACAGCTTCGAAGTATTCTTCAGACTTTGGCCGCATAAAGATGGCATTAGCCATAACGGAGTGGCTTGGACGAGTGAAGTACGTTACGGTACTTCTAACATTAGACATATTTCGGTCTAGGTATTTCTGAGAAGTCACATGAAATTAGTTCTTATAAAGATATTCATTGTATGATATGAGATAATTGATGCACTAAAGGAAGAGAAATCTTTACACCTTTTACATTAAACAAATATAATACATAAATGTAGATCTCCAATTTTCGCTTCTTTCGTCTCAAAACATATTCGTATGTGCGTTTTTATCTGATTGTTAAATATTTTGAACTCTTGACCCTGTAACATTTCGATGTTTCCTGAACATAGCTAGGAAGCTTCTTTTCTCCATTACCCTAACCCTCTGAATCGAAATCGGAATGGCTTACAAGACACAGTTTGGCAATTTTTGGGGGAACAATGAGGTAGTAGGTAGTAATTGAGAAGTAATCTTAAGGATATTTAAATTGTTTATAATTGTACAAATAACATCTTTAGCTATAATAAAGTTTTTGTTTGCTGAAGTTGAACATTGTGCTAAAAGTCTTTTGCATCTTTAATAAAATGTTTGTTTCCTGTGTAGATGTAAACCTTAACTTAAGAAACTGTCGCTGTTTGGTCCCTTTATGATAATATTCAATGGGACTAGAATGACCGGGTGGTTCAGGAACTAAGCAAGTTTAACAATTATTACACATTTTATTGCTAACGTAAGCATTAACAAAAGAAGTAGACAAGCGCAAGAAAGAAAATTTAAGACCAATGTAAAGCTTAACTTATTGATCACGCAGTGTTTCGTGTAGTCTGCACGTGGTTTTCAACTTTTAACACTTCTATTAAGTAATTACAAGCATGTGTATCTATCATTTTTTAGAAAAAAAATCAATTTTTTTGGTCAACAATTTACTTTGTAGATATTTGTATGTTCATTTCATTTCATGTGCGTCGTGCATAATTTCGAGGTGGTAAGGATTTGTATCTTCTGACCAAATAAGCGCATGTACAATATCTGATTCATGAAATAGGCGTGGTAGATAACTCGAGAAACCGTAGTGTAGTATGATTTATTCTGTTCAAGTTCCTTGGATCCCTTAGACAAATTTGTATGCGCGCGCGCTTCTAAACAAATGTACCCTCCCATCCCCAACGTGGGCCCTTTTCTATAATAATACTTTTTATTGTTTTGACGTTGAACAATAAATAATAGTAATTCAATATTAATTTAACGTATGAAACAATTTTGAGGAATTTGAGTATACGATAATTCAACTATTTTCATGTGTGAACCATTTGGAATAATTTATGTAAGATTTATTCTTATTGTTAATTATTAAAGATTTAGGTGGAGATGTATACTTCAGCCTTGCTGTGCATTTGTACTATATTTTTCGGAAGCCTTAGACTGTTTGAGCGTGTGGACGTCGGAATCGTCCGCGTTGACCTATAGTATTCTAGCGAGAAGGCTTGAGGCCTGCGGGGGCCAGTGGGGACAGTTCCCGCCGCGTCGTGGCCGCCACGATCAGCTGAGCGCCAGCTGTGCCTCCGTCGCCGCGCTGCTGCAGCCGCCCGGGCCAATAGTGGAGCTCGCCTGTCGTCCCGCGTCTGCCGCCCACAGCGCCACTGTTGCTTCGCCGCGGCCGTCTTTCGCCAGCGTTGGCCACCCAACTCGAATTGCTTTTTTTAGTGTCTTTTGAATATTTATTTGTAATACTTTTGAAGATGACTTGAACTGAGTCTAAACCCTGTGTAAGTTTCAAGATCTTTGCCTAATTTGCGGTAAATGTACGTTTCGTGTGTTGAACTGCTCACGGTAAAGTGCGGGTAAGTTGTAAAGCATTTGCTTTTGCTGTTATATATTTCACTGCTTGAATATCATGCGTTTTTATATTTATTAAAAGTTATGTGATCGTTTCATGCTCTACAATCCTGTCGAATGGTCAGCAAAGTTATTTATTTATATTTGGAAATCACTTATTTTATTGCCAGTGCCGGGGCTTGTGTTAAGTGTTCAATGTTTCATTCCTGGGGATTTTGTAATTATCCTACAATGTTAGTGATTGAACTGTGTTAGTGACTCATCATATTAAATTGCCTTTTTTGAAGAAATCACCGGAAATTACTTTTGATGTGTACTTTTTCGGAATGTGAAAAATGTCTCCGTGGCCAGTGAGCTTTTGGCGCGCAAGGCACTTCTGGAGGGAATCGGCACCTCGTCGGTGTTTTGCAATTTAGAGCTTTTTCTCTGTCTTCGGTGAAATTTTGTTTGTATCATAGTTGTTTGGACATATCCCTTAATACGAATTCAAAATTTGTTCGCAATTCATCTGCAAATACCGGTGACCATTGTTGGGGAATTTCGGCGGGATAGATATGGCGTAGGTTGTTGTCCCCATTTTTTGCCAACTGTGTGATGTGGTTGAGCTGGGTTGAAGCAAGATTATGATTGCATACATAATTATAAGACTTCATTGGTACAAAATGATGTTGATTTGTTTTAAAAAAAATCTGTTTAAACAAAAACTTCTCATTTAAAGTTCTTCAAATTTTGAGTGATAATTCTTGTTGTATTTGACATTTTATTAATTTTTTTTGTATATCTATTCACTCTAGTTTTGCAATTGTTTCGTTTTAATTTTCTCTGTATATCAGAACTTTTGAAGGAATTGGGATGAATTTGAGTTACTTATTCAATTAGCCTTTTGGTATTCATTATCTTTGGTGTTTTTCAGGTCAGATTTCAGATAGTGGGATCAGAAGAATAACAGTGCCCCATCATGAGGCCACCCAGGTACAGTAGACACATTCATCTACTCAAAGTATAATTGTGGATTAGACAATTGCAAATGTGGAAATGAAAACAGTATCATACACTTGCAGTTACCTAATGTGGCCTTTCACTGTCTTCATTTATAAGTTTTACTACTTCTTGAGTGTTAAATAGGTAGCACTTTGCTTTTGTTTCTTACTTTCTTCATATGAAATTGAGAATATATTTTGTTTCAGCCACTACACTGGTCGACCATCGCTATTGAAAAGGAAACGAACTTACTCTGATGATGAGGTATAAATGTGTTTCAATTATTTCCTAAGTGTGAATTTAAGAAAAAAAAAGATTTTTGTGATAAAACAAAAATTTATCCAATTTCAGGATATGCAAAATGATTCAACAGTATTGGAACAGGCCCAGCACCAACCATCAGCTCAGGTAGGTTAGATTATTTCAAAATAGGTTAAAAATTGAAATAATTATTTTAATGTCAAACATTGTATTCATTTTGTTGACATAGAGGAAATTTAAATTCTATTTGCACCAGATTCTTCATGAAATCTAGAGTATTGATAAGAGTTTGTCTTTAAATGAAGTTCAGGAAGTTAATAATAATAATCTACTTATAGATTCATTAGCTTTGGTTTTAGTTTACAAATTTGTGACTAAGAAATGTTCATCACTTTAGTTGAGGACAGAGCAAGTTAAATTTGTGCCATTATAACTTGCTTTGGAATAATCCCACTACTTACTCATACTCACACAACCAACTTTACTTTCTTTGCATATCTCCTTGTTTCTTGCGCAAGCATGGTACCATCCTTGCTAATCAATATTTAATATTGATTGGCAATTCAATACAGCCAATGCGATTTTATGATCTTAAAATACCCTTTTAACCTGTTTCTTGCAAGCTAAAATGGTACTAAGTGGTTTATTTAATGAAATATCCTTGCGTGAAATCCCCTGAATAAATTCCACGCTATCACTGCATGTGAGTTTTACGACAATTTCTTAGCTAGTTAGACAAATTAGAATGTATCCTTAAACCAGATTTAGACTGTTTTTGTTTTGAAAAATATTTAGTCTGTCTTATAATTATTGTTTTCGGTAGTAAAACATGATTTATTTTGCAGGCATGTGTGCCATCAGCTGATGTTGGTGAACTCGATCCTGCTGATGTTCTGCTAAGTCCTGATAGTGAGCCACAGAGTGAATGGTACAGTGAAGGAACACCAAGTGATGAATTAACTGTGTCAGATGCAGGAGAGTCGACATCTGCTCAAGAGTAAGTATAATCTGAGTGTTTCAGGTTAAAAGGGGATGCTGTTGAGTTCTGTTATTGGAAATTGTAGCATTTAATTATTAAATTTTAATTTGTGAAAGTTTTAGAATGGTTTTATCACTTTAATGTCAGTAATGAAGACTGACTTAGCATTAATTATTGATTGCATTTGCCAAAAGAGATTGGGTATGGTGGGTAGTGTCAAGTGCACATGTGCTGGTTTTAATCATTTCTTTAATGATAAAAATTGTTGCAGAGCCACACCACATTCATCTGGAGATGACCCACTCAATGCACGTTTAGCTCCCATGCCACGGTTGTCATGGGCGGATGCCCAGCAAGTGTGGGAGCTTATGTGTCAAAAAGATGAAGCTTGTTATGGTGAACGAGATGAGGATGTGTTTTTGCGGCATCCTGGGCTTACTCCACGTATGCGGTCTATCCTATTAGACTGGCTCATAGAGGTATGTGACAAAGTATGGATTCCTGGAAAAGTGGTAATTGAAAAAATGCATGTGAGGTCTTGGAAAAACACCAAGCACTTGTATTATTGAGATATGGGGGAAATATTGAAAATGCATTTGTTCACAACCTGTTTGAAATGCGGTTACAACTATTTTTAGAAAGTAAGTAATGCATTGTCAGAGCAAATGAACAATAATGCCTAGGATGAATCACATAAGAAAGAAAAATTGCTTTGGTTTATTTGTCAATAGTCACTGTGTGTTTAAAGGCATCAGCATTTGTGTGGTGTCATTCTATTTGCACATTGGACAAATGGGTCATGATTCATTATGGGACCAAATTTCTCAGCTTGGTTAAAGTAACTTGGACAGTGATGCCATCTTGCGTAGTTCTTATTAGTGCATAGATATTGATATATATTAGATAATGTCTTGTTATTTAGTACTACTAAATATAATATGGAGTAATCGGACCCGTGCAAATATTCTGTATTTCATGAATAACTATTTAGGGAGTGAATGGTTTCCTATTGAAACTGAATTGCCAAGCCTTGAACTGTGCAATTCACCATTTACAGAAATGTTAACATAATCTTCCCGAACTTTAAAGCAATTAAAGTTGATAACTTTTAGTCATGTAATGGGAAATTTCATATAACAGTTACATGTGATGTGTGCCCTTGATTGACATGCATCATGCGTCATAGTTTGGCAGGTAATGATCTAATGCAAATGGAGAGATTTGACTGTCGGCCAAACACAGTGCATGAAGCCTATCAAATGGGGTAATGCCAACTGTAACTTTCTTATGTGAAATGTCACACAGTCATTGGGAAAAAGTGATTATTTGGATCTCCCTACACCCTCATGAATTTCATAACATTTATTCTGGGATGCCTGTATGTAAGTTTTTTGCTTGATAGGTGAACCTGAGCAGAGGTGATTTGTTTCGCTGTTACTACATGCATGATACATGATCCTTTGTAATTTATAAAGCAAATACTAGATTTCAGTCTGATACCTATACTATCAATGATGTGGAATTTTGATGTTGCGCTTCAAATGCATGGCAAGCTTGTACAATGCCCTATTTCCTTCATTTATGTATTTCCAGTTTGTGGCAAGAAGGAAAGATAAATCACTTGAACACCTGCTTCTATTGCATGTTTCTAGAAAACCATATCGACATCTTTGAACCATCATGCACAAAGTAGTTTGGGTAGGAAGTGCAGGCCTGCTCAGTGCATGGATAAATGTTCTTATATTGCAGAGTTTAATTGTGGAAATAATGTGCACTGAATGTAGAAAAACAATTTGATTTTATGTAAATTTCAAGAGTCTTAGTTTTTTATCACCTAGGTTATAGTGGTGTGAAGTATGGCTTTATGCTGTCTGCTTAGAGATTCTGTTATGCTAATATAAGAGATGATTTCGTAGCACTCTATAACCTATGTGAAATTTCATTTAGTTTTTCCAGCCTTTAAAATTGTATGCCAGCCAGTTACAGGAAATTTATCTTTTAAAACTGAACAGCATTGCAATTTTGTACCCTTGGGGTACTTCTGTAAAGGGTATTTCTGTAAAGTGAGCATTATTGTCAAAAAGATGTTCCACAGAAAATGTTCATTCCTCAGTGTATAGACACAATAGTAAATTGTTTTCAGTGTATTGTCTCTAAAAGTAAGCAGAGAGATATTTGCAAGACATTTGCAAAATATATTGAACACCATTAGACACTGTACCTCAAACTGAACTTTTGCTTTTTCCTGATGAATGATATGGTTGCTCCCAACACAGCCCTGGCTCTGCCTGATGCAGATGTGTGCTGTAGAATAGCTGTGTAATAGTTTGATTTTTTTCTGGAGATAGTTCTTGTTTTCCTTGTAAGCATTTTGTTTTATGTTTCCTCTTCACTCTTGAAATTTTATCAATTTTCATTACTATTATTTGAGTAGATATGCAAAATGGAAAAGAAATGGAAGACTTGTTGAAGTATGGAAGTTTTCATATACGTTTTTGCTCATTTTAAGCTACATTTCTTTAATGCTTTTATTTGCTGAGAAATGAGGCAAAATAATGTCTGGGAAGCCACTGACATGATGTTTTAACTGTTGAAAGTAAACATATTGCTCTGAGGAGAGTTTTTCCCAATTGATTTCATTAAGCATTTGAAGTTCTTAGATTTTTTTTTGAAAAAAATACAGTTATTTCGAGGTTCTATTTTACATAGAATCTTCTCACTCGGCTGTAGATATCATGGACCGTATTTAGATGTATGTTTGCTGTGAAAATGTTGACACAGTACTTGCCTGGGGTAGAAGAGAAACATTCGCTACTGACTGCAGTGTTTGTCATAGAATGGGGCGGGTGCTTGCAGCTGTGTTGAAATTGCAAATTTTTTTTTTCTTTCTTTCTTTTTTTTTTTTTCAGAATAAATTATTTACATTTGGTGTTAAAATATTTCTAATTCAAGTAGTTTGTGCATGCTTATGGACCATTTTTGGTCACTCTGTTCAACTAATTGTCCTTGCAAAATGTACAGAAGAATCAGGCTTCCTATTAGTATATAAATATTCTCAGGGCTATAAATCAGGTCAAGAATATCTTTTAAGAGGATCTGGAATGGCCTATCACATCAATATTAATGTAAAGGACATTTTCTCAGAAACTATTTAATTTACAGACTTGAAATGTTATGCAAGTGTAGATTAATTGTAAGTATTTAACAAACCTAATTTTAAAACATGGTACTAGTTTTTAAAATGGTACAAGTTTTTGTTGATTGTAATTGGTTTTGTTCTTAAGAATAATACCATTTATAAGAATATTGTCTAAAGTATTCAACATTTTATAAATCCGCCCCATTGCAGCATATAAACTGGTGTGCTGCATATAAACTGCTGGTCATGTTCAGCTCTGTTAAAATTTGAGCATCCTCCTTGTAGTAGTTGTTGAGAAAATGTTCTCTAAAGCTGAAAATTTTAAAGTGACAGGAAATTGTCCCTAAAGTTTTCAGTGCATCCTGGTCTATATGATGGGCAAACGGATGTGTTGAAAATTTGAAGCTATTCAATCCTCAATAGTTACAAGATACAGTGTGCCCAACACTAGAAAGCAAACTATTAACCATTTTTCACAACTAAAGCTGAAAAGCAACATCCACAACATTTAGCAATGCTCACAATTTTTCAAAATGACCATGCCACATATACTACAAAATTCCAACCTAAAAAACATCTTGCATATGACATATTACGATGAAACTTGGCTTATGTAACACAAAAAACTGCAAAGTAATTAATCACGATTCAAGAAAGTAAGAAATTTTATTTTCATTATTTGCCCAATACAGCTACCCTATTGAGAAAAGATGTTGATGTAAGTTAATGCAGTATGTATTTACAGAGATGTTAAGAAATTTGTGAAAGAGGCTGCTTTCTTTTCTTTCACACTTACCCATTGTCACAAAACGTTGATGCCAATAAAATAATTTTTCAAATATTATTTAGTATGATTGCCAGGATATTACTGCACATAATAGTATATTACAGGATATCACTGCACATAGAAAAATTATAACTGTCTTAAATATGGCTCTGAGTGTGTTGCATTAATATACATCACCCTTTTATTTTGGATGGTAGTTGGATGATTTTAGTAATTGACGGGAGGAACAATTTTACACTAAAAAAATTGTTGCAAAATTTCTGATATAAATATATGATTGACATAAATATATTGACGTTACAGGTATGTGATGTTTACAAATTGCATCGACAGACATATCATCTGTGTTTGGATTACATAGATCGCTATCTTTCAAGACAAAGCAATATTCCAAAACAGCAGCTACAGCTCATAGGTAATTTTGGTTACATTTGTATTGGTTTTTCCAATTTAGCTACCATTGAGTAGTCAATGGAATTTATTAAAATTATTTTGAAATGTTTTTAATTACTGACTACAGTAAAACCCTGTTTTTAAGTACTTGCATTTTACGTTTTCCTGCCTTTTTAAGACATTGTCCCGTTGAAAAACCTATGATTACAATGTATTCTCTTCTTGCAAATTATTACTGATATAACTACTGATAGGAATAAGATTTATCCACTTTTCCATTACCAGGGCATGTCAATAGGAGATTTCTGAAGAAAATTGCTGATTCCAGTGCATGCTTTTACTCTCTTCTTACGAAGGGCAAGAAAGTGAAAACAGAGTAGCCATTGCAGCAAATAATGATAATACTCGTCTAGCCTGTCGTTTCTTGTATTTTACATTTACCTGCATTTTAAACTTTTTTCATCGGTCCCCTGAAAAGTGTAAAAGAGGGGTTTTACTGAAGTTAGTTTTTGTTAACATATAATGGTACAATAATTCATTGAATTCTTCAGCCTCCTCCACATTTTTATTAACCTTTCTAGGAGATTCTCCAGAATTATTTATTTTTTTGGTGTTTTACTTGCTTTATTTTTTAGGTATTACAAGCCTTTTCATTGCTTCGAAAGTTGAAGAGATCTATCCCCCTAAGATAAGGGAATTTGCTTATGTCACTGATGGAGCTTGTACTGAAGAAGAGATAATGGACAAAGAATTAATTATATTGAAGGTTTGTTCACATGTGACTTAACTTTGTGCAAATGGAAATTGAAATCCCATTTTTGTAACAGCATCAGTAAATCATTTCCAACCTCCTTATGATCTGTTTGCTTGTACTAAATTATCATATGTAAACAAACTTTTTATGTTTCCTTCAGCCTTTGTTTGTGATTGGCCACACCTTTCTCACAATGATCTTGCTCAATTGCATTTAAATGTTAAAGTAACAACTGTCGTAACATTGTATTTGGGCTGTATTTGTAGTCTTCTTCACAAGAATTCAGTTCCAATGCATTGTTTAAAATCTTTTGGATGTCACAAGTTGAGAGTCGCTGTGAATATGACATCTGTATATGGCGTCTAAACCTTTGAATTTGTCGCTAAGAGCGTGATCACTACTTACAAAGAAATATATTCTGAACATAATTGATAATGCCCACTGGAATGAATAGCTAATTCCAAGAAAAATAGCAAATGTTTGCTACCAATAGAAGCACACTTTGACAATTGCCCTGCGACTTCCTTAGTGACGTTATGAAGTATATACTAGGTGCCTATGAACATCACATTCATAACCTGACAAAGAAAAATGTAGAACATATGACATTGTCATAGAATATAGCAGTATTATGAAGATGTCGGATACATCCTTATTCAAAAATCTTAATGAGGGTAACTAGTATTGTGCTCAGTAAAGTTATGGAAAATTAAAGATTAGTTGCTTGTAGGAATTTCACATTAAATTAACGCAAAATTGAAAATTTTAACCAATTCCAAATTGTCTTCTTCGAAGGATTGAAAAACTTAAGGTCACAAAATCTCAAATATTTTGTAATATTTATCAGTTAGGCTTTTCAAAATTGTAAACTGAAAAATTTTGCATACCCACCGCCTCTTAAAATACACATTTTTGTACTATTTTTCATTCTAAGTTTTTCCAAGGCTCATTGGAGAATGTCATACCTAGCCTACCCTTGTTAGATTGTACCGTATTAATATCCACCATTACCCTATTATTTCCATTAAGACAAAAAGTTGTTAATGAAATGTGTTATTTGTTTGAAAGAAATTGTGAATGTAACTTCTTACTTAAAAAAATATATGAAGCAATAATAAAAACCTTGCAATTGATGTTGGAAGGAATTATTGAGAGACTTCTTGGAACAATTCACAACATTCTTAAAAATATTTGAAGTAATTATTCAATATTCTTTGACAGTTAACTTTTCGCTTTTCATGATAGTCACAAAAACGTTAAAAAGGCTTTTTTACATTTGAAAAAGTACAAGACTGAATATGCTGACTTGAAATCCTCATTGAATCACTCCTAATATCAAAAGTACTGGTACACATAAGACCCAAACCAATAAATCGTGCATATGAAACAATCATCGGTATCAATCAAATTTTAAAATTGTACTCCTAGTTCCTGCGAGAGCGAGTTGTAATTATGCAAATAATCAGTCTATGCAAACCACGGTGTAAACAGGAAATGTAAATAGTCTAAGATAAGGGAATCTAAGCATGACGTTACGAAGACGGCCAACGCCAAATATAGGTGACCTTGGTAGTATCGATAAGTGCTGAACCAGCAAAAAAAAATTTTTAAGTCTTAAAATTTTAGTTTTTAGACTGCAAAACGCTTTGTTTAGATGTTATTTAACGATATAGCTGTGGGAGTGCTGCGTGTTGCATTGAAAATGAATATTTAGATTTTTTAAACGCGAAGTGCAATTCATCAGATCTTTCTTTAAGACCTCATTTGTAAAGATACGTTGCGTGTAAGAGCTGCAAAAGGTGTGTATTCTACCGGAATATTATAGGAGACAATTGTCGGTATACAAGTGAAACAAGCCAAATCCATGTTTTGATGTTGAGGAACCGCTTCTAAGATGGTTGTATCGCTCCCCAGCTGGGTGAGTCCTGCTCTTCCTCGAGGTGCAGTACTCGTCAGATACCCCCTTTCCATCACTGGGAGAGGCTCATTGGGTCTTCCTTGCTAAACTTTACAAGAGTGGCCCTTGTTCTCCATCAACCTGATCCAGTTCCAAGCCGATGGAACAAGTGGCAAATGGAAATTGCATTGAGTCCAACATGTTCATGCCTCTGTGTATTGTGCTCATATGCCACCCAGATTGGCCAGGAAAAATGGGGTATGAATTATGTAGGGGCATGTTACGTGGTACGTGGGGACTTGCTACTTGTTCTAGCGTCCAGAATGCAAGTATTTCAAATTTCAACAGAATTACCTGTTGGAAATCCTGAAGAGCAGTGATTCACATTCTAATGCAATTCATGAACAAACGTAAGAAATCGTAGCTGCGCAATCAGAGGCTAAGGAAAAGTGTAAAGCATCAGTCTGCAGAGGCAAAAAAATCAAAATTGCATCAATATGCAAAAGTTACTGTAATGTGCACTTACTGGCAGTTTATGCAAAAATATAGGCTAATGAGCGAGGAGTTGTATATTTGACATCATCTTAAAAAACTTCAATGGAAATGAGTCGCCACCGTCTTTTCAAGAAATTTTAGTTTGCTACAGGATTCTGCTAGTAGAGGTTATCTTTAATTGTATTTTTCTTATTTGTAGGCCTTAGACTGGAATTTGTCGCCAGTAACTGCACACAGCTGGCTCACAATGTACCTGCAGATGTTGAGTAATGTTCAGCAACAGGAGGAAGGAGCAGAAGACACTGGTGACACGTTTGTTTTCCCCCAGTTCTCTGGCCAAACATTTATGCTGGTTTGCCAGTTGCTGGATCTGTGTATGCTTGATGATGGGAGCATGAGGTTTCCTTATGCTGCCCTGGCAGCTGGTGCTATTTACCATGTATGCAGCAAGGAAATGGCTCTCTTTGTAACCGGTAAGGAAGATGTGGCTCCTGATACTAAGATTTCTTATTAGAAGGAATTGCAGGTGCAGGGAAATTTTTCAGTGTACAAACACATCTACATTGGTCAGATGGTTGGTCGAATTTACTATTTTACTAATAAAACATTTCAATAATTTCTTTACTTAAATATGAAAGTAGTTTATTATAAAACAATATAGGTAAATCTGTGCAATGTGCCTTCTCTAGCGAGCTTCAATATACATAATTTCAAAATTTAAAGGCGGTCCACAATTTTGTACATAGTATAGCTAGCAAAATAAATTTGTAGTAGTCTTACCAGCTTGCGATTTACTATGATTTATTCTGGACAGTTGCAACATATGGTATATTATATATGACATTATTGGGTTGCAATTTATGATTTCACATCATTATTGCTAATTAAGATACAAAAAAAGCTTATCAAAATTGTATATTAAATGAATGTAATACACCTAACAGCGCCTTGGTATTGAGATAATTATGTGCTGGATATAAAACGTTATTTAGTTGAAAAATCGTTATATAATTATGTGTGTCTTGGAGATCAATATTTTCATATCGGGATCACCAAGAGAATATTCAAGTTCCTATCCCCCTGATTCGACAAGGAATTTAGTCAGAGGAGACACAGTGTACTGGGATTTAAAGAGTTTTCCGGTATATTTAAAACATCAATTTCAAATCAATCAAATAATAACAGTTATTGAGAATGTTTTTGATAAATTTAGCCAATGATAATGAGGTTGATTATTTTATTCTGTGACAGAAAATTATCTTTTCTATTCCTCAATAGTTTTTGTTTTTTCTTAAATTTTAAATATATATGTTATTTTTCTCCTTTTCCATTCTTTGCTATTTTTATACTGTGTGTGAAAAAGTTGTTTATCAAATGCATGATAATATTATATAATGAAATATCCTTCATGTCACACACACATTGCTTCCTGAAGTATTATCTGTATTTTAAAATAAAAGTAGTATTTATTACAACATGAATAAATTGAATTGAATTCATATATGCATGATACTTTTGTCACCTATGCGGTTTATTGTTTTGTGAACTTCAAGTTTCATGATACAAAGAAGCAATGTATAAACCTCATTTCTAACCGGCTAGGCGCAATCTACAAATATAAGACAACCTCATATTTTTCAAATGAGAAATTTTGGGAAAAAACACATAATTAATTAAATAAGTTAACTAATTAAGTAATTTAATAATATACTTTTATCATACACTGAAATATATGATAAAAGTGTAGTTTTCATTAATAGTTCCATAATGAATCTGAATTTAAAAAAAATGAATTATTATTAGGCTCAGGCATCAAGAATAAATCATCTAATTGTAATATAAAAGTAAAGTTTAAGTTATAATAATAATAATGATGATGATGATGATGTTTGATATTTCAAGCCTTTTTTAAATTGATTCCCTTGCTGTAATTTTTAATTTGATATCTTTGTTATTTCAGAAGGATTGCAGTGGTTTGATATCACCAGTTGTGTGCTGTGGATGAAGCCTTTTGCTGAAGTTTTGCGAGAAGGAAATCCAATTGATGGTACATCTCTTAGAGCTGTTGCTTCATGGCAAAACAGTAACTGTGCTCTTAGCAGAACTGTGCCTAGAATAGTTTCAGATGATGCACACAACATTCAGATGCACTCTATAGACCTCAGGCTGCTGGTAGGTTCAATTTATTTTAAACTTCTTATGCTTATTGCAAATGGTGATATTTTCTGTAAAATTGTTTCAATACAATTTTTGTCATATATTATTAGATTTCTCATAATAAATTGTGGAGCTTTGTAAAAGAATATGAAATCTTAAATGTCCTAGTGTCCTTAAATAAGTTCATGCAAGAAACAATAATCATTCACCAAACCTCTTCAGAGCAGTGCTATCAGTGAAAGAACAATCCAGATCAAATGACAATGCACTGTGTTGTTTTTAAATTACTTTCTGAACTCTCCCTTGACATGCTTTGTTGAAAATGGCAACAAAAGTTGTTAGATCTGATTGGTTGAAGGAAGCAACAAGTCTAGATACAGTGGAATATAAGAAATATCTACACGTGGGGGCCAGTTTTATGAATAATTTGACTGTGTACTGGACAACTTGTACACAACTTTTGATGTTTCATAAAAACATATAAAAAAACTGACTCTGTGCAATTGATGTTCTAATGAGACGCAATAATGTCATAATTTACATTTTTGAGAGAATCTTAATGTGACATGCTTGTGCGGGACATCAGAAGTTTCTTGAAATTCTGCTCGGAACCAAACCATCCACACAAATTAGTGTAGCTAATGATGATCCTGCTGCTGTTTCAACCTCAGGCCAAGCGTTTTGAGAAATGTAGCAAGTTCAGCATATGGGTTGTTTTCTTTCAAAACTTGCATTTGAATTGGAGATGTATTTTTGTCATTAGCTGATCATATTGTACTGGTACTTACAACCCTACTATTATCATAATATGAGCATCTCTTTGTGTTGCAGGAGCGTGCTCAGCAGAGGTTGCTTGCTCAACAGCAGACTGCATTGTGTATAGAAGAGAGTCCTGTTGCTGTTGCTCCTGGCCTGCTTACGCCACCGGCCAGCAGCAAGAAGTCTTCAAGCGCAAGTGCAGCCTACTCTTAGCTGGTTACTCTGCAACGTTAGATGTTGACTTGAAGGACTCCTTTATCATTCATCCCATTAACGCAATTCTGTTAACCCTGAAAATCTTCTGCAACAGCTACATGAAACGCTTCATGAATCTAGTCGTACTGTTTGAAGAGTACTGCCAAGGTATTTCATGGAACGCTGAAAAGCATTTGAAATATGATCAATGTTTTGTTCTAAGCATTTCTGTAAATGTTTTAAGTTAATATTCAATGAATGTGTGTGTGTTGAGACTATTCTGATAATGGACAAAGAAAGGGTGAATCCACAGCTAAATAACTTGTTGATATTTATTCCTTTGTATTGCTATGGATCTCCTTATTGTCATGTGAACCACAGTCGCTACTTTAAAATGCAACAAAGGTTCATTCCAAAATTACTCATTTACACCAACGTATGAACATGATGATACTGTACCTCGTAATGTAGATTATTGATAGTGGTGTATATATACATGTCTACAAATGTGTTCGTGTAAATATTGGACAAAGTACAAGTGGCCTTACAATAATCAAGTGAGACTGGTATGCATCTGTCGTTAAGATGTAACACATAACGTGTAAGAAAGTGCAAGATTGAATGAGCATTTATTGCTAATGGGGGAATAATTTTTCTAGCTTGTGTAGGTAATAAAATACAATGCAATTTTGTAACAGTTGTGCATTTTCATTAACAATAAATGACATTAGTGTAAAAGCATTATTGTTCATTTTGTCAGCAGCATGTTAGTTATGACTGCATGGTTATCATTGCTGTACCCACACATTATCTCATGTGCACTGCACATAGGAGTGTGAAAACATAAGTCACCATATTTACCCAAATATAAGATGAGTTTTCCCTTATTTCATGTGAAAAACAAGGTCATTTTCTGTTTACAGATTAAGCCTAGTTGGTGGATCTGTACTTGTATATTCCCTTTCCATGTGTGGATCTTGAACACTAATGTAACAATAAACTACATATGCACTAAAAAAAACTATTCACCTGCACATTCTTGGCATCCTTAGTGGATTCACTAGGTGATTTTGATTATTTTTGAACAGGCTGAGAAAGTGAGAATGGCATTGTCAGTGAAATGCTCCTTGATATAAAAATCAATGCCAAAATGTTGCAAATGATGCGGCCACGTGGACTTGTAGTTCAAAACGCTGTGAATGTAACTTAGTTTTGCTAGAGATTGAAATGAAAAAATAATTCAATTGGGTTGATTCAATATTCAACAGCAGAGGATTTAAAAATTCCCAAATGTTGAAAACTTTACCGCTCTTTAACACACTTCCTGTGGAAGAGAGATGTATGTCTATCTGATTCTTGCGAACCTTAAATGATGTGAATTTAAAGAGGAGGGTGGTTAAAAAAGTAGAGGTCACAAATGGCATCAGGAAGAAAAGCTGTTAAGACACAACCCAAGGGAATGTTCTTATGTGCTGGTAGATGAAAGATAAAGAGCAAATTAATAAAGCAAATTTAGTTTCAAAACATTCAAGAGGACCTAAAAATGTCTGAGTAGGACCGAAAGGAAATAAAACAATGATGCATGTTTAAAAAAATGATAATTGTAAGGAAATACAATAATGATACATTACACTCAAATAATTAGACAATTTTGTAGTCAATAAAGTAAATTGTGGTTTTATTTTGAATGAATAGTTACATTTAATTAAAAACAAAAAATAATTCTCAAGGCTCTTCGAAATTAGTATTTGTGTCATCTTGTATTTGCGTAAATACAGTAGGTCAGAATTAGTTCATTTTCTTATGTAATTTAAAAAAAATATGAATTGCTGAATTCTATATGAATATTTTTTGTGCATGCCAAGAAATCAAAAAAAATAAAAAAAAAATTATGTTATTCAAATGAACTGCGTTTGTACACAAGTTTCAAAAGAGAGTACCTTATGTAAAATGGTATAATACTGCAGAAATTTCCAAATGTGCCTTTTGTTCTCAAGAATTTTACAATGTTTAATTGAATACAATGTATATAATAAAAATTAAGTTAATGTACAAATACCTTAAACTGAAATTATGATTTAGAAGGGAAACAACTTGCATGTAATATGCTAATATTGTAGAAGGTAATAAAAGCAGGTTGGCAATAGTACACAATTTTTTAACATTATTATTAAAATATTGATTTTAATTTCACTGAATAAGAAGAATTAGTTGAAAATGAAAAGAATTCTCAGGATCTCATTAAAATTGGGTGTTGTCTTGTATTTGCCTAAATATGGAGGGTGAGAATTAGTCTGAGAGTTTTTATTAATTATTAAGTATTACAATAATTCAAAAAAACTGAAATACTATATTTTGTTGAGTGTTGCAAAACATTTATTGTGCATGTCAACAAGAATTATTGTTACTTTAAATAAAACAAATCCGTGACACTACCAATTTTTTTTTTTCTCAGCAAGCCTCAAGTGACAAATGCATATCCTATTTTGTTACATCTAAATGCTCTTAATTTCCATCCTCCAAATTGAAGTATTGTTCTACTGTATAATTAAATATACAGAATAACAAACTGGATACGATAATATACGGGATAACGAACAAATGTAGAAGGTACAACATGATGCCAGCAATATTGCTGTAGGATTTGCCAAAAAACCATGCTGCTTCAAAACAAATCTGTGTTCAAGTGGTCTCCCCCTGGGTTGGATGCCTGTGTTCCAACCTTCTGTTCTGGCTACCTTAAACTGGAGACTAACATGCAACTTTGGAAAGCAACAGTATTTTCATTTTGTTTTATATTGGCAATTGATGCCAACACTCCCACATTATGCTTTGAGTGACTTTCGCTATTCTTTCCACAATTCTGCATTTATTTGTCCTATTTTTATCATTTCACTTACAGCATTTCGCACTTCCAATAGAAAAGTGACACGTGCGAAATCGTCATTTATCAGCTAAAAGCTGATAGGTTACAAAGAGGTACTGCTATTATTCTGAATTAGTTCAATTACTGTCTGCTAGAAGTTTATTATTTGGTACAATCTATAACAAGTATTACAGAACTGCAAAATTTAAAATTGCAGTTTCTGAGGAATCAGAAATTTGGAATTGTGTCACTTTTCTATTGGAGGTCTGATTTATTTCAAGCAATTTTTGTTAACGCAGTGAAAATAGTTTGTTGAGTACTAATATTATCTCAGTTGTGCCATTGCATTATTACTATTGTATTTCTTTTTGAATTAAATTTATTAGTTTCACATTATTTACTATAGTTATTAGGTTTATTGGTCAGTAACTCAGATTTAGTAATTTTAATTTGCGGTTAATTTATGTAATTTTAATTTCTTTGAGATATTTTAAAATTAGAAATGGCTAGTCCCAGTACACTGGACCTATTCTCATTAGTAGGGCCTGCTTGTAAATATCACAAGTATTCAAAGTTTGCTTCAAAGGGCTGTTGAAAATTTATATTACAGATTATGGTAAGGATTCATGAATGTGTTTGTAGGAGGACTATCCATAATTAAATAGAAATCTGATGTTGCTAATGATCATTAGTCACAGTACGCCAGATTACCTCTATGCCCTAGCATAGATGTAATGCCAACTTCTGAGTGGACTAAATGGTCCTTCTGAAGCCTCACTACTGCTTCCAGCAAATTTGATATGAATGCTTAAATTCCAAGTATAGTTCTCTCCTAGTTATATTAGGGTATGGTCATTATTGACCAGAGGAATCCCCCCTCCTCCCCAACCTTTCCAGACATGGGTCCTCAGTGAACCAGGATTGTTTAAAAGTAATTAGAAATGAACACTTCACAGGCAATGTCATTCCGAGTGGCCCAAGATGATCACAATATCAAACAATTCTTGAGCTCTTGGTGCGTTTTTCACAAACACTCCTTTCCTGTAGAGTGTATTCTGATTTTTCCAATTTTGCAAGCAGGCACTCCAATACGAGATTAAAAAGGATTGGGGAGGAGCCCCCCCCCTTTAACTCTAAAAATTGACACCTCAATGCCTTTCGAGGGATGCTGAATAACGGGTCAGCGTAAGAGTCCATTACCAAATTGGTCAAGGTATCGGTGACCCCTTTCCTGGACAGCCCACCGAAGGTCTGCAACGTGTGGAACGGTGTCGAATGCTTTGGATATATCATGCACAACACAGACAGCACTTGTCTCTTTATCGTTGTTTTGTGTCTTGTGTGTCATAGACTCCGTGAAGAATTTGAACGTTAGCGAAAAAGCTAGGTTCAGGGAAAAACTGTTTTTGGCATGGATTGAACTTCACCATGGATCGAATATAATTGTTTGTCCATAATGCCCCAAAAGATTCTGCACCGCAGAGAAACAATGGGGATTGGGCGATAGTGACAAACTTATTATCCTTACCCTCTTTTGGGATAAGAATGGTGCGAATAGCTTTGTACCCAAAAAGCACAAAACAACTATTTTGGGTGTACAATAGGGACAGTGTTGCAGTTTTTGTAATACAGCAAAGTTATTGAGAGTATTGTCAACCCATTGACAGTCGTATACCAATGCCATTCTTGCCCTGAAGAATATCAACGGGGCAGGAGAGGGGAGTCTACCCGGAATAAATTGCAAGCTAAAGGGAAAATCTTTATATTCGAAATCTAACTCTACATGTATTCAGCAATCTATTATATACACTTTCTTCTAGTACGTAAGTGACAACTAAATGCCATGGCTAGACCTCGGATGTGTAGTAAGGGCATTTATATTTTCAACGAGCACACTTGCGATCCTTTTGTGGGACACAGACGACACAGTGTGTGTGTGTTTTATCATTTTTTTTTTTCATTATGTTTGTCCAACGTTCTTTACGTCAGCAGATACTAAAGTAAATGGATTTTTTTGAGCAGGCCTGGTTGTTAGAGAATGCTGAAGTTTCCACAAAACTATTATGATTGTTGAATTGTTTGGCGGTATTATTTTGTAAACATCTGCTAACTATTGAAACATGAAACTATCGCTTAAGGTTAAGAAATTTCTAATGATAAAACCACTCAACAATGAAATACTTAACTCCTTGCCTAAACACAGATGGAGAAAAACAAACTACGCTAGGGTTTGTCGCTGCCCCTATCTTCTCATTACCATGCAAGTGTTAAATGCATCATTTGATGATGATTTCCGTTCAACTTAGAATTTTCATTTTTTTTAAACATTGTGAATTTTATGTCCTCAATAGACATGCACAACCTAGAAGTGCCTCCACCGGTAGCCAAAGCTCCTGGACTTAACGAGCTCATCACGAGTCCTTCAATGGGCGACTGTCTGGGAACCACTGATAAAATCGCTGAGCCCCTAGCCAATAAGGATAACGGAATGACTTAGGACTTGAAGTATGACCAAATAAATTCAGGGAGAATTGACTTAGTTAAAATCTAAAAACCACACTTAGCTGCTCCTGTGGTTATGGCAGAAAGGAAGATAAAGCAAAATGTGATTTAGTCTGCACTGAAGGTTACAAGGCATATGCAGCTAAGATTAAAGGTTTTCCCACTTTTTAGAGATAAAAATCACAATAAACACAAAGTTTTGGTCTTTTGGAGCACTAGAAGTTTATTTTAGCAACATAGTAACAATTCAGCAATAAGTTGCCAAAAGATACTAAGAGAGAGTTTCATCAATAGCCTTGCATGCACACCAGGTAACTTGTAGCAAATTTAATTCGGGTGCTAATGGGAAATGTGATCATAATTCAATTTACATATTTTATTTCCGGGATGTAGGGTGACAGTTTTCGAAAAAAATGACAATGATGGTTATGTTTGAAATTCTACACTAGGAATTTTCTTGACACACAGCAGATTATATAACATATGTACAACTCAACTAAAAATTTGATTGACAATATTTTTCACAATAAATGCTTCCTCTTGAAGGTTACAACTGCACCCTTTAGTCAAAAATATTCAGTCTTTGGTCAAGGGTACCAAGGTCAAATCAATCAACCATAGGAATCATTCCCAGCTATAGCAACTATCTTTTTTTCTGTTGGCGCAATGCTTTAAAGCGACTAACTGGTCGGTCAACTGCTGGAGTAGAACTGCTTACATTTGTGACTCTCTCGACTACTTCTTCCCGAATCTGTAATATACATAGAATGAATGTATGATTTAAATAATTGTTAAGAAAATAAATCATAAAAGATCTTATTGTTTAAACAATTACCGGAGGGGGAGGAGGTGGTGTAGGAGATGATAAATCCACTGCACTTTCATATTCAGTGACTTCACCATGAGAATCTTCACCATAAGTATTATCAAAGGAATTTTCATATGAACTTGTCTTTTTCAAAATAGACTTAGGCTCAGTAAGAAAAACGTTTTTGAAATGAAGGTACAGCTCAGCTGGGCTCTGTATAATTTCTGAGCGTGTGGGATCTGGAGGAGACACATTGCTATGGTGAAACACTATCCTTAATTCTTCATCTCCATTTTCATCCCCAGCCAATGCAGCAAATGAAACACGACGCCCAAGAGATGGGCATTTTGCATGCATTTCTTCTTTAGGAAGGTCTTTTTCAGATTGCATTCCTTCTTTCTTTGTATCCCTCTCATTTCCTTTTTCTTCTTCTTCATCGTCCTCTTCTTCCCCTTCTTCATCCTCTTCTTCTTCCACATCACTCTCTTCAGCATGTAATCTAGAAATTATGTATGGTACAAATCAACTTCTTGAAACATCAAAACTGAATAAAAAAAGCACATACGACAAGAGAAAACTAAGTTCATAAAGTTGATAAGTTACATTCTAAAATAGAATTTCGTATTTACGAACAAAAGATGTCACAAAATACTTTGATTTAAAATGTTCTATGAATGAAGTAATTAAAGTAAATTGAGGAAGAAATTATCAGAGTGGGGGGGGAAAAAAAATTCCAAAACAAGTTTCAAGAAACCTTGTTTGTATTTTTATTCTTAAAACTCTTCTCAAACACAACCACGATTGAATTTCTTATTCTTACTCGTTTTTAATGATAAATCAGAAATCATTGGGTGACAAAAAATTTGACTGTTTCCTGCCTGAATTCAATTCAATAAAAAACTAAATCCCAAAACTAATATTTATACTTTACTAAGTTGTAATTAATAGCTGCAGTGATATTTAGATGACGATTGAAAAGAAGCCCTTGATATTTAAAAGAAAACTGGAAACAATTCCTTTAAAAACAACCGGTGATGATGTTCCAGCGCTCTATGCTGACAGCCTGAGGAACTTTCTTTTTGTTGATGCAATTGTTGCTATCACTCATGATTTTTTTTAAAGTAATTTGATTTAAATCATTGATGAATATTGATGAATTTTTAAAACTTAATAATTCTCAGAGTTGCAAGCAACTTTGGATTACCGTCTTGACTTTATTAAGCTTTATGATCTGGCTGTAAATATTCTATTCAGTACTATTGCACGAAAACTGCATATATCTGGAGTTACGGAGAAAGAGTTTTCATAAATTATACTAAAAAAGGGTTCATATTCTTAGAATGTAGAACAAATAAGTGTGAGATGTGAGCAAGAAGAAAATTAAAGCCTCAGATTATCCATAGTCCGTTAGTATGAATACTAACAGGCTATGGCTTAACTCGAGACATGGCGAAGCAACCTCTCCCTTCTCCCAAGCAAGGGCACGGTTCACCTCAACAAATGCCCCATTTGGAAACTAAAAAGGCTGACAAAATTGTGATTTTAAACAAAACTACAAACGCTAAGAATAGTGTGAGGAAGTTTATCATTGCTGTATTGATCTTGGATCAATACTCCCTACTAGCTCACACTCTACATGTGTTATGAATGGCACAATATGTAAAAGAATCCACAAACACCTTTGTACAGACAAGTTTGAAAAGTTGCTCCAAGTAAAAGATGTGAGGCAGCAGTGAAGGGCACCAGTGTGAAAACTTGCTGTGTCCAAGAGGTCGGCAGTACATCAACAGAAGTAATAGATTGTAAAAAGCACCTGAGCATCCATTGCTGCACGGTAGGTAGCCAGTTGCGTGTGTGTTTTCCTCAGAATGCAGAGTTCTGTGAAATACATACACCTGTTCAAGATAAAAAATATATCGAACAGAATGAAATACCTATCAAGTTCTTCTTCCAGCTCTTCTTGCAATTCTAATTCATCAAGCCGTTGCCACAATGACTCTTCATCCACGACTGCAGTTTTCTCCTTTGTTCTGAGTTCGGCCAATTTTTGACGATACTCTCGTTCCTTTTTTTTATGTTCAGCTGTAAGTAAACATGCATTTCATACTATAATCATATCTGTCACAGGATTAATGTATATTTTACCCTATCAAAATTACATTAACAAAAACAGCACACTTTCAATACCACACAAGATACATTGAAATAAGTGCTGGGGAGACCAATGGAAGGTTAAAGCAACTTGTCTGAGATATCCACTCTTAAACTACTAATTTTTTAATAAGATTTTCACTCTCAGATCTAGTATTAACCAATCAATTAACAAGGACTAAACAATATTAATATTCAGAAATGAATTTTGTGCCCTTATTTTTTTAAGATAATCTACCTTTCCAATGAGTTTCCTCCTCTTCATTGTACTCTTCAATAATTTCTCTGACACCACCAAAAGCATCTTGTTGCAAGGGCAACTCCTGTCTTCCAATAAATAAGTTCCTCTCTTTTTCTAATGACTCCAACATGTCAGAGCAAACTAAACATGAATTAAATAATTGAAGCAAAATTGAGAAAGGAAAAAAATACATCACATATATTTTTATTCATTTATCAATTGGACATACCCTTAAAATTACAAATAATTATACACAGTAAATATATCACACAGGTTACATGCCAATAAGAAAAATACAAAAGCGGTAGTTACTAAAAGAATATAAATATGCTCAAATAACTTTGAATTACATAAAATATAGGCTTAATATATTTACATAATTATAAGAATAATTGTGATAGTTTTTTATTCTATTCTAGGTTTATCCTTATCTTGATTAAATTTTGTAGTACATTTTAAGTTAAGATTTAACTTTTAAGTCCAGCATACCAACTGCATTGCCGATATTTGTGACGATAACATATATTAAATTTTGTTCTTTGAACATTTATTTCTGAACTATTTTTAACATCAAGTACTTTTTAGGGTTTTTTAACGCTATCATCTGTTTCTACTACTTAAATATACATAACCTACTTTTCTCACGCCTTTTGCATATTTCAACAGCTTGAATTGCACTTCTCTTTACAAAGTATCCTTGACCAAGACACACAAGAATTTCATTGGAATGGGCAATTTTACCACGCATTAGAGCCCGAGGAGCTACAGGCACCATAACATCTTTTGACAACTCTTTAGGAAGATCATTTAAAAATGATTCCAATGTCATGTATTCTTCCTTCAATTTCTGCCAGTGCTTCTGAGCAAGCTCATTTCTCAGTAATGCCTGAAAAATTATTTTCACATTGAAAATAAAACAGAAGCATGTTGTCTTCAAACAGGAAGATTGGTTTCATAAAGCACACGATGTTCATTAATAAACATTTAATTGTTCACAATTAATGTCTTACTTCGTTGTAGGTTTGATGCAAAAGTTGAGGATAATTAACACTTGCATTTCCCACATCATGCATTTTCACAATGGGATTTACAACCAAAACGGGGATAAACTTAAAAAAACTGAAACAACTTTTGAGTTAACCCCAGAAAAAACGAATGTCTTGCAACACAATCTCGATTGCTAACGAGAATAGTAAAAACTCATCAAATCCATGTTGATCAAATACTACCGCCTGACAATCACCCACCACCATAGGATGGAGAGACTTCAACTATACTTAGATTTAAACATAGTGGCACTTGGAGGTCACAAGCTGGAATAGACTGGGACATTGCCATCCAATTGGACATTCCAATGCCAAAAATTTAAATTTACAACTTTTGATTCTTTGACCTACATGTGCCACCGTGTGTAAATTTGGGTAAAGTCTACAGTTCGCGGTCTATACTCCGATTTTAATGCACTAGCAGCACGTCAAGGTCAAGAGCTAAAAGGAGAGAGGAGCACTATCATCTAATTGAGAACTTCGTTAGGACTTTAAGTTTTGATAGTGGAGCTCCCGTTTAGATAACAATATCCCTCCTCTCCTTCCACCTCGTGACCTTGAAGTGCAGTTATGTTTAAATCGAAGTATAAAATACCATTGAACTCTCTACATATTTATTTAGTTGAGATCACTGAAAACCACCAGCCCTCTGGGGAACGGGAGGCAGCTGGCCAACCAAATAATTAGAAGACATAAACAACCAGGACAGTAGAGAACATTGATCCAGGCCGTCCTCATCAAACTTACTCTACAGACGAGTGACTGAAAACCACTACAACCACAGTACCGGCAGCGTATAAACGACTCTGACAGTTCAATGCGCTGTTGTCTCACAGTAATACCCACATGGCACCATCTACATGACAGATAAATGAAATATCAAAACGTAAACCCTTATGACACGTCTTGATATCATGTTCATGGAAAGGAAACTTAGAATAACCAAACGCTTACAGGGGCATTGCCTTGGAATGCAATCGCTTCAAACTTCTCTCAAGACTACAAGAAAAATTACCGAGAAGACTGAAAGTGTTCTCCCAGACGCCCAATTTGGATTTCGAAAACAAAGATCCACTCACTCAGCAGTAAGTCTGCTAGTAAAGCGACTAACAGCAGCAACTGAGAAGAAAGCTATATACAGTCTTTATGGATTTTACGAGGGCATTCGACCTCCAATAAGGGACTGGATTCTTACAAATTAGATGAAACCCCGGAGAAAAACTCTGTATGTGTAAGACTTATTAGAGAAATTCTGTGGCACAACACCAACCAAATATCTGATGGCCTTGCAACATCCGCACCTATTAAACAGACAAATGGCGTGGTACAAGGAGACCCTCTCAGTCCCTGCTCTTTATATTAGCAGCCGCGGATATTATTGCAGTGCCCAAAAGAGAGAAGAATAATATCGAAATCTAAGCATATGCAGACGGCATTGTGGTAGCATCAAGAGATATAGACACACTACAAGCAATATCAGACATGGCGGAATGGTGTAAGAAATTAACACAGGTAAAACTGTTTTGGTGACTTTCAGAAAAGGAGGAAAGACACCAACAGGGACAGAAATAAAAATACATAGACTGCTTCGTAGAAGTAGCCAACGAATTCAAGTATGTACATTCTACAACCTACTGAAAGAGTCTCCACGAAACACCTTCATAGGCTGGCTCAGAGCGAAGTCGCTCGTCTTTCACCAATGAGGTCAAGGTTCGATTCCCGGACAATCTCATGTAAAGTTTGTTCCGATAAAACGATGTAGAACATGAAAACATGCAGAAAAGAGGGCCGTTCAAGCAATCACTGCAATAAATTATATAAAGCTTTTAAAACAACTGAACCGTAACACAGCAATGAAAAATTTCAAAGCAAAAATGTCCCCGCACTATCCTACGGGATAGAGATCATTTGGCCGAATCTCACGGAAAAGAATTGGCTAGTACTACGAAAAGTAAAAGCCACATTCTTAAAAATAATATTACGAGTTTTCAAATCAACTAGTTAGTCAAGATTAGTTTACGAGCTGACAAGATAAACCTTACTGATAAAGGATTTAAGGGTTCTATTCCTCCTTCCTCACACAATAGCATCACAACGTGTTGTCAGAAAAGCAGGGGGAAAAAGAAGACAGAGCTGGCCGGAATTCTACGCCACAGACACAATGACAAATAGAAAATGGACAACGACAAACTATGAGATGATGCATGTGGTCACCAGACTGGCAGCTCACGGTTTCCTCTTTTTACTTTGCAAAACAAAGACCTTCCACGAGCCAGAAGAAACGTGCTTGGGCGAACTTTGTGGGATAACCTGCACTCGTTATCATATACAGTGGTGCAAGCAAAGGAAAGGATCTGTAAATGAATACGCTAAAAAAGCAATAGAGTCGCAATAGTGAACAAAAAGTGAAACTCGAAACTTGAATTAGAAACAAATGCACATCTGTGCGCATTTCAGTTTATTATTATTTTATCATGTTCGTAACCTTCTCCAAAACCAAACATTGCAGCCTCCACGACTTCCACTAAGAACCGAAAAGGCTAACTTTACGTAGGGGTATCGGCGCGGGTTTCATTTTCATCTCAGAATCGCGGAAATCTGTGAGATTTTATACAGCATAGCATACTCTCTGCGCATGTGGGTTAGTCCGGCCACGATCGACTTTTCAAATTGTAAAATCGTTTTTGGTATAAAAAACGGGTTTTAAAAGTTCAAAAGGGAAAAAATGGTTTAAAAAAGCATGATCATTTTGACATTTAAAATTCCCGCTAATATTTTGAGGCAAATTAGTGCCTGAAGTTCATTGGCTGAAGTCGGATACTATGCCCGAGAGCTCACCCGTTTTTCCATCATGTTCTGTAGTGCTCTGAGGCTTAGCGTATAGTAATCGTCTGCAATATTGATCTTTTGCGAAGATCACAGATGTACAAAAGTTGATACGAAACTCGTATTGCACTTGCACAGAAGATTTAGGGAGTAGTGCATACCGTAGCGGACAGCACTATCGATCTTGTACGCATGCGCAGATATACTGAAGTTATCCGAAACTTGAACTGCGCCTGCGTACAATATTCATAGTCTGCTCGCTATGTCGTGCACAAGCTCTATTTATATTGCTGTCGATAACGCTTGCAGTCCAAAAGTTGCCGACGATGTAAAATAATTCTCTTTTCATTCATCTATGTAACGTAGAATCGTTGACCTGTTTCATCTGATTTGCCTTGGCCAAAAAACAAAGCCTCGTGTGGGAGAACAAATACGAACTATTTGATCAGTACTAGCGCTCCAAGCGCCAGCACCCAAAGTGAGTTAATTTCATTGCTCTGTGTTTCTCTCTGCCTTCTATACCTTCGTCGTCAGAAGCAGTGGAACTCTAAGAATCTGCACCACAAAATGAATAATGTCAAGGGGATTTAATGATATTCTGACGGTGTTGCGGTTGCGGTTCTGCTGTCGGTTCGGCGCGTCGGGAACTAGTGATTAGTGAAATTGGTCAGCTGCCTTCATTAGTAGTTTCGTTGATCTTTATTGTACATATATGGGTAGCTTTTTCAACATTGCGATGTTTAAATTGCCTTTTAATATCTCAATTGAAATGTAGTCGATGAAGTGCGCTTATTGATAAAGAGAGACACGATATGAATGATACGAGATAAGGATGGATTATGTCAGTCGGGAGAAATAATTCGTCTGTAGGAGCTTTCGGGTGTTAACGGCACTCATCGGGATTTGATGAATCACTGCATTATGAAAAAATGCTATGAGTGTTAGTGCAGTGAAGTCAGCAAACAATGGAAAACTCATGTGACACCTTGTGATCGGCGTGGGATTTTGTTGTCATTGCAGGATTTGCGTTCCCGTAGTCTTCGTGATGGATCCGTACGTTCGCAAAATGAGCCAGTTGTGCGTGAGCGAAGGCCCGGGCGAGGAGGCGGGCGGAGGCTACGGGCGCATCGCCCCGCGGGCGGCCGAAGGCGGAGGGCGGGTGCGTGCCGTGGGCGCGATCGAGAGCTTCGCGGTGCAGGGCGCGGGTGGCGCGCCGCCGCCGCCCAAGGCTCAACCCCCGCCCGACTACAAGCTGTACGAGCGCGGGAACATCATCGCGGCCTCCAAGTTCGCGACGCCCAAACAAGTGGAAACCCTCGCGTCGCAGTTGCCGAGAGCTGGCCCCGACGGCTCGCCCCTCGGCCCTACGCCCGCCGCGTCGCCGGTGCCTGCGCTGGGTCCCGGACCCGCCTCTGCTCCCGCCCTCGCTCCCGCCGTTAACCCCAATCCCTCTCCCGTTGGATCCGCCGCGTACAACAACAGCGGCTCACCTTTGTATGAGAACGTTGATTATTATGGCACCCGCATGACCCATCCCCCTTACTACCACCAGTTGCCTCACGTCGGCAGCCCCCATTCCAGTCGCAGTTCTCAGGATTCCAAACATTCCAGTCCACGATCGAGTTTCGTGGACGCCAATGTGTCACAGTATGAATCTAGTTACCGCAAAGCCCAACCCCAGGTTCCTCCGGGAACAAAGTATGCCATGCTTCCTGGCTTGACGAAAGATTTCCCTCCGTATGAAGCGCCACCGGTTTATGAAAATCTTCAGGAGCTACAGTCTTCAACTTCATTGCACAATAGCAAATCCCCAAATTATGAACCTGCCAAGCCAGGACCACAAGTGGCTGTGGCCACTGCTCCCCTGACTGTGGGTCCTGCATCCGGAAGTGCGTTGCTGGCTGAGGTAGTCAGTCCAATGTCTTCACATTCGCTACCCTCTCATGTTCCTGCTCATACTCATGGGCTCCCGCTGACAGCAGATGCGTCTATGGGGAATCCACCTGCATTTGTTCATGCCCAGTTTCAGCAAGCTCCAAGTGTGCATGAGGAGGATATCATGGGTGTGCCAGAATCACCATCTAAGACTCAGAGACTTCCTGCTGGACCAGGATCACTGGGTGGATCGCTGAAATCACATTTGAATGCAGCTGGTGACTACGTCGTAATGACTGGTACGGACAATGTTGCAAACAGAACTCCACGCTCTTGGATTATCAATGCAAGTAGATAACTAATTGTAGCATGTCTTGTCATAACCTAACGAGTGAGGTTTGTTCGTTAATATGCATTAGACCATAATTCCTCTTCTTCTGAAGCATGCATGATGACAAAACCTTATATTTATCATACTCTTTGCAATTCTTGTGCTTCTTCTGTGAACCAAAGGATCATGAATGGTTTATTATTCATGTCTGTACAATGTTACATCGTTTAGAGATTTCATTATATTTCTAAAATTTCCTTCTCTAATCTAATGAATGAGTGTCATGTGACTGTTGTCCAGGGACAGTGAAAAGTGTCGCTGGATCTAGATGGAGTTTTCTCAAATGTTTGATTTAAAAATTGAGTAATTTTCCAGTTTTGTTTGCTATTTCTTTACGATACTCACAATTTTAAAAATGTAGAATAAAACTATTTCTTCAAAAGAGCATTGTAGTAATACTTAGTTGCTTCTACTAATAGAGGTGTGTATTTCTATTATCATATAGCATATTACAGTTATTTACATTATAGCATATTATAGTTATTAACAATAAGTCACTGTAAATAAATCTTGTTAAATTTTGTCTTTTTTGTTTTGGAATTTATTTGTTATTTAACTAGAAATTTGAATTTAAACTGTGGGAAAAAAAATTGGTTTAATACCTAAAAATGCTATTTCAATGCATTGTCGGAAAAGATCCTGGATATAAGGACAATATGATCCTCCTCCAGAAGGAGTCTCTAATATTTTCTATTTAACTTTAAAATTCAGTATACTTTATATTTAATGATCCATACGTTTTCTTATACAAATTCGTGTTCTTTATGGACAATACAATGAAATGTGCATATGCATTATTTTTGTCAAATTTGATTTACTATAAAAATTAATTAACGTTAATTTATTAACGTTTGATGTAAGAGGAACTTTAAATTATTTACACATGCATCCATTATAAGACTAATTGAATAATCTGCATTTTGTCTTTCATATGGAAAATTGTGTTTCTTAGATGACTTCATGCTGTTTGCAGGAAACAACACTACACGTCCTGTGCAACTAGCTACCAGCTATCAGCGAGGAACCACATCAGGTGTGGCCAATGCAGTGTATGTATCAATGGCCTCCCAACAGCCATCAGTTCCTGACCCACACAGCTCTGAACAGACACCTCCAGTTTGCACGTCACCCCTAAGTAAGATGAAACCAGCGAGTGGAAAGGCTCTTTTGCCCTACAGTGTAACACCTCCACGCCCCATGGTAAATGGACCAATTTTTTCTTCTTCTTCTTTTTTTTTTTCTTTTTCTTTTTTCTTTTTTTTCTTTTCTTTTTCTAATTCTGTATTTATTTATCATTTTGGGTTCTGCAGGTACACTTCCTTAAAGTCATATGAGGTTGGGATTCCCCTAGATATGCCTTTATGGCATCGACTTCCCTTTTCTAGAGCCCTCTGAAAAAGATTTGTAAAGGGTCATACAAGATCTTACTATTTTAAAGAGGGAAGAAGATTGTGTGACTAGCACAAAGCTTCAGCCACATATTTCCCCCAATATTTACTGTTAATCAAGCCAGTGGATATTGGTACTCATTTGAAAAGAATGTTGAATGAAGATCAAAGGAACATGAATAAGACATGTCCAGATACAAATTTCCATCTGTGCTAAATTTTGTGCAAAAGTATGTCCTTACCTCCGTGCTGCCGCAATTCTTTTTCTACTCTATGCCTTGTATAAAACTTAATCTAGCTGTGACATTGGCTTCTTTGTTTCCTTTTTCTTCTTATTATATTTACATGTTCAGTAGAGTGATGAAATAAATTGGATTTTCAGAAGTGTATCTTTTGATATTGTTAAAAAATGTTATCAAATGTAATGCCAAAACATTTGCAATTTATTGGGATTTTGAGGTTGCTACTCAGTGCAACAAGGAAGTAAGACGCAAATCTTCTAATTGTTGCTGAAAAATTAAGTGATGTGTGTATATAAATATTTATTTATCTTAATCGTAAAATCTGAAGGAAAAAAAAAATTATTAATAGCAAGTGAGGTATGGTGTTAGAAATACATGTTTATAAATTATTTGTTCCTATGACAGCAGAAAACTGATATAGCTACAATTGACATATATTTAACAAGTTTGAATTAATTTACAGTGAATGAAATGCTTATGATTTAGAATTAATATCACAGAAGCAGGAGTAAAGTCTTTTAAATTGATGTACAGTTCTTTCTTGAGATGAGCTCTGTTGGAAGGTTATTCCAGTAATTAACTATGTGGTTTGCAAGGACATTTTTGTGGTTAACTTGTTTGAATTTCGCCTTCTTTAGCTTCATGTTGTGATCTCTCAGGTTGCGGGTAGAGGCGTACGTGTAGAAGTGTAACTATTCCGGAGCATCATAGAGACCTTGAAGTATGTTGTAGGTTTCAGTGATGTCAGCTCAGTCTCTTCTAAAAGATAAAGATGGTATGTCTAGTTCACATAGTCGTTCTTCATAAGTTAAATTATTAAGAGCTTGTAGAAGTTTGTTGGACTCCCTCTAGAAGTATCATGTCCTTTTTGATGTAAGGATTACAGATGCTAGAGCCATATTCCAGTATTAGTAAAACCTACGTAATGTATAGTGTTTTTAGCGAAGCCTTGCGTATCACAAATAGTGCTTTGTTAGGTGTATTGACTAAATAGTTGATAAGGGCTTCGCATTTTAGGTCATGCTTTTATAATCTCCACATCTTTGATCCATGATGATATCCGAATGATATCACTGTTAATGTTGTACTGGTGTCATGGATTAACCTATATGTATAGTAGTATGAATAGTAGTGGGATAAGTTATTTCCCTATCAATTTGAAGAAATTAAAGAGTTCATTTTTTGAGTGATTGGAGTTTTCAAGTGGATTGGCATGAATTTTGGTATCATCGGTTTATATGGAGAAGATGTTTTTCGCATTGCGTATGATATCAGTAGTGTAAAGAATAAACGTTATTGGTCTAAAATTAGGTATATTGTTTTCTGCTGTTGTAGATTTCTTAATTTATTTAACTAATTAATGCTTGAATTAATTTTAGTGCAGGTCCCTTACGTTCATAGTTGTCCCTGTGCACTCAAGGGCATTGTGGTAACATCTCATTGTCTCTGTTGTATTTGCCAAATTGTAATGTTACTAAATTGAACTATGGCATGAGCTGCAAAAGCAATTGAAGTATTTGGATTCTAACAAATATTAAACAACAAATTAGATCAAAAACCTTTAGCAGTAAAATCTGTCTAAACTGGAACCTGTACGAGCCAGAAATCTGCCTTAACCAGTAAATTTCTCCAGCCCGTCAAGCTGAATAGCATTTTATACAGCATAAAACAGAACTTGTCCAAAGTGGTAATGGAGTAGTTTTTCATGTTCTACTGGAAAAAAAACTTAATAAAACAAAATTTCTGAAAAATTCATGCAGATGGCATAAATTCATTTGCATACTATCCGGTCTCTAGTAATTGCAAGTAATTGGGGTGGGAGTCATGGCCCTTGTGGATCTTCACCTGTCTCATGAAAAAGATAACTAACTTTGTCCACTCAGTTTGTTTATATCCAAATGCAGACTATGGTGCTTTTTGCATAGATACAAATACCTGGTTTTAACCTTGTGGTTGTTTCCTGAAAGGCAGTAATAAGCTACTACATACGTCTCAATATTATTCATTTTAATTAAGTTGTCCACTTTTAATTACTAGTCTTGTGAGTGTCAAAATTGGTGATACAGTTAAATCTAAGCCTTAATCGATAGGGACAAAAAATATTCTGGGTTAGGAAGGTTTCCATTGTATACAGAGTTGTCTTTTTTATAACACTTGTTATATTGATATTTCCACCCTGAAACTAGTAAAGTACAAGACTTTATTGTAATTATAAAAAGATTTTAACTATAATGTTTTTATGGAAGAAATCGCCAATAAATTAATATTAAAAATATTTCTGACTATTGAAAAGAAAATCTTCATAACTTGTGCACTAAAATAATATTATTTTCCCAACAGTCAAGTGCCAATTGTATTAAATTGACAGAAATTTTGTTTTATAAGGTTTTCTTTCGCTGCTGGGCATTAAAATCCCTCACGTTACCCTTCACTGGCCGCAGAAATTTTCTAATTAAGGCAGGTTTTTGCCTTGTGCAGGCTCTGGTTTTGACAGATTTGGCTGGATTGGAATTGATTAAAGCAAATTAATTTCATGAATACTTCAGAGCTAGTTAATTCTGTATGTTATTCTTAGAATTTTAAATATTTTTGTTATTTTGCTTATTCATAAACAAGTGCTATAGCTTATAAAAGAGAAATATGATGAAGTATTTGTAAAACTGAGTTGATGTATAGTCTTTGTTGACAATAGTGATATCGGGTACATATTCAAACTTTTTATTCCTTGGCCTAAAAGAATGTATGGCAAAGATATATTTAATTGTCTTATAATGAATTTAGACATTCATTTGCAACTACAAAATAAAAAAAGGAACCATGATAATTCACGCGATTGTGATCACCATGTAAAAATATGCTTTTCATTTTTTCAGGGCCCAACAGAGGCAGAGAGAAAAATTGAGGAGCTGACACGACAATTAGAAGAGGAGATGGAAAAACAGGAGGAAGAGGGGGAGTATTTTGGTAAGTTTCGACCTAGAATCTTTTTCAGACACTAATTGGTAGTGAAGTAATAGAAATAAAAAATTAGACACTTTACTTGTTTGATGATATAAGTGTTATGTATGCTGTGGAATCTTGCTATAAGTTGTTGTTGTTGTTGTTGTTGTTAAAGATATTTAATGTTTTTCTTTTCATTGTGTTTTTTCTTATTTGTCTTGTCTTTCTATCTGAGAGCTGAGAGAGAAGAAATTAAGACTAAGGTCACAGTACAGAAAAAATATTGGTCGCTTGCTACTGGACAACTAAGAACAAAATCGTCTGATTTATTTTCATATGAAAAGCACTTAAAATCATTTGAATGTGTCCATAATTCCACAGTTCATTGTTGGAAACATTTGCGAGTAGCACGCTGAAGACCATCTACAAGTATTGGAGGTAGTTTTATATATTACAGATAGCCTTGACTCTCCAGCTGATTTCACGCAAAAGGAATAGGGAAAATCAAACAAAACAGATCTTTATCCTACAGCCAACGTTTCCATGGAAGAGATAGTTCAGTTTCAATATGCCCATTTACTAGTGCTTGTTTGAACAAATTGGGCATGTCAGATGCAAACGTCAGACATCAGCCGAATGAAATTTTGGTAAAAATCAGCTCCAGTGTGAGCACTGCCTAACAGTAGCTAGCTAATGCGAGTGTGGATTACCCAATTTTGATAATTCCCCCTCAAGCATGCACCAGTATTGGGAAGTGGGAAACAGACAATTCCAACTGAATGTGGGGGAAGTTATAGGAAATATGTATTGGCTCTGATTGAAGGGAGAGGGGAAGGAAACAAATGCTCTTGAATGATTGCATCAGAGCTGTTGGTTTCGCTGTGTGCCTGAGAGGATACTATGGTGTCCTACACAAGGCTGGCTTGCTACTGATGTATCACCCATTAATTTTAAATTTACAGTAAATAATGTTACAGAGAACCCACAATATTAATACCCTTGCATAAATGCCTAAGTGCTATTCTTGTTACATATATAAGTCTCTCGATGTGTTCGCAAGACATGATACCTTTTGATGCATGTCACTGCACAAATTCCTAAAGACTTTTCATCTTGTACCCAGTATATAAATTCTCAGAAGTGATAAAATTTAAAATATTTCAATAATAATTGAGTTATCTTATTGTGTTTTGGATTAAATCCATTGATTGCAATGCACATGCAGAAAAGTAGGGTGGGAAGTTTGTGACCTGTGAATGTTGAAAATAGACAAACTTAAACACTTAGACAAAAATATGGTTTTCCAAATGTTGTTTTTCTTCGTTTTTTGTCGTTATTAACAAATCGATGATTGTGTTTGCCCACACTTTTTGTAAATTACACATATACGTGTCAGTCTCACAGGATGGCTGAAGATAATAACAAACTAGCTAGCTTCTCTAAATGTTTGTTTATTCATTGGTGATTTGTGTATTAAATTTCACAATATTTTGAATTTTTTTTGAGGGTCTTGATTCATTTTAGCTTGACTTTCAGTATAAACTTGTTTTAAGCCAGGACCTCAACTCATTTGAGGCCGAAATATTAACTAGCAAATGAATTTCATTGTAATTAATATTGTGATAAATGGTACAGACTCTTATAAGAAGAATAAATGAAATAAGTGGCAAAGCTATTAGCAATAACCCTCACCTCTAGTTAATGAATTATTTTCACCTCAGTATGTGGGATTTCCAAGGTTGTCGTTGTTTCTGTTTTTAATTTTTTAATTTATTTATTTACGATGTTCTGTACATACTGGTTGAGTTTGTATGTTCCTGAATTGTAACTATGGAGTGTGTGTCTGCAACTGAAAATTTTTTTGCTCTTGCAAGCAAGCTTTACATGTGAACATTCTAATCGTTTGTGCCTTTCTTTTGTATCTAAACAATTTTTAAATGTATTTTAGAATGTTTTATTTATTTGTCATGTACTCATAGTCATTTGTCATAGTTTCATACTTCTGAAGTTCATGACCAGTCATGCATGCTCCTGATGTGATCACATCATCGAAATTAACAGGTTCATCTTCTTGACAATTAGTCGTTTCGGGAGCATACTGAGTGTCGCATCCTTGGCAATACCTACTCAGATGTTCCTCTGAATAGGATTCGTGTTAAATCATAATTTCTCTCTGATAGCTGGAAAACAATTTTCAAGAGGATCTTAATTCAAACAAAAAGTTAACAGGTATTTAGTTTCTTAATGGCGTGTTGGTTGAAATTCGAATATATGTGAAAATCTATAGCTTGGAAGTTCTAAATGGGAGTATCTGTGTTTTATTGCAGATTTTGATCTTTCTGCAAAATCTGGCAACTTGGAACCAAAATATTTTTTTTGAATCAGGATAGCTAGTGCTGTAATGAACAAAACTTGATTCCCTGTGTTTTGTTCATTTGGAACAGCCAAACTTCACCTCTTATCAAATTTTTGATAAACAATATTATTATTGTAATTGTTCTTGTGAAACTTCAGCAAAAAGTAATATTGCATTGCTTTTATACTGTGTTGATTTACAAGAATATTAACAGACCATATTTTTAGTATTAAACATCCATTGAAGATACTTCTTTGTTTATTTTGGTGTTTTATTCTTTTTTAAAGAAGTCTGAATGCGTTAAAAGTTTATAGAAATACATTATGCATATGTCTAACATCAATGAATCAACTACAAGGTTTACCTACAATCTTGTATGTTTTTAAGAGAGTAAGCATAACCACCAAGTCTTCAGTACATTGCTTTCTATGAATAATTAAGCTTTTTGTGCCATGAAAGTTAACTGATGATTAATTAACCATGAATGGCAAATGAAACATGTGTGGAACAGACTCTCAACAGAGACATTTAATTTTAATGGCTCAGTAAGTCTATGTTGATTAAAACAGGCTTAAGGAAATTTCTAATATTAGTGCATTGTGTAGTATTGAACTCAAAAATGCCCAGAAAGTGGTCAGTTATGGTCTGGTTATCTTGTAATTTTACATCATAATAATACTATAAAATCTGCTTTTCAAATTCAGTGATGCCTTATTTAACATTAACAGACCTCAAGCCATCAGGTCTGCTCTTCTATCTTACCATGCAAAATTCACAAAGTTCATTTCACCATCTTGCAGAGAAAGAAGATATCACTTAAGTGATGAAACAGGCAAATTAGCTCTGAAGCATCTTTAAGCTTGGGGATCTTTTACATGCACTCTCACTCATTAATCTCACCATAATGCTCAATATAATCATCAAAAACTGCGCCACAATTTTCTGGGGAAAGGTCTAAATCAGAGTGACACGAGTAGTGCGACAACTGCATAGAATTTCTCACATTATGTTTATTGGCTACACTATACAAGGGTTGATCAGAAAGTAATGCCCCACATTCTTTTTTCCCCAGAAATATTTATTGGAAGAAGCTGAAATTGCACACAATAATAATACATGGTTATTCCATGTGCTCTATTTTCTCTCATGTGCATTATAATGCAAGAGCAAGCGTTTTGAACAATTCTTCTGTGATCGAACTCGCGGGATGTGTTTCTTTAGGGTATTCAGCGTTAATGTAAGAATTTGAATTGATAGTTCCGCCAATCAACATGAATGACACCATCAATGCCCCAAAAGACAGTTATCAGTATGTCAGATCTCATCACTGTGACGGGATGCTCAGAGCACAGCAATGAGGATCACATTCTTCACTTTCCAAAGCTCTAACTCGTTTATCCAAAATTCCAATGGTACACCTGGGAACAGCAGAAGTGCCCTACACCGCACCTAAGCGTTTGTGGATGTTCAGTTTCCTTCTCCACAATGAGGATCTCAATTACTGTTTGTATCGCACGTTCTCTACAGCCTCCATTTTCACAGTTCTGTGAGGAAATGCTTTCAGTAGAAGGGACTTGTGACTTCATACACTAACACTGAAAATACAAAACTTTAATGGGTTAGCAACTACAATCTGCCATAATGATTATTGTTATTATTATTGGATGTAGGGAAAATGTGGGGCATTACTGGAAAATGTGGGGCATTATTTTCTGACCGACCCTCGTAAAATAATACTACATGAACATACAAAAATGTTTTCAAACAGAAAGCTCTGCTCTGCGATTCAAAGTCAGGTTCTTAGAGTTGGCATCCCATTCATTTTAAACCTACACCGCCAGCCTGCTGTTAAACTCAACCCTGCTCTTGCTCTACAAAAAGTTAAAAATTTGCATTTGTAATTTTCAAAAATTACGGAATTTGTTTCATGTTATCAAAATCTAGTTTTAAAGAACAGCAACTTCCTTTCTGGATGTGCCTCCTATGTGGATAGGTTTCGATTAATAGTTCTCTTAATTTAGATAATGGTGTAATAATATCCAAAAACAATCCACATTCGTGTCTCTCTGCTGTGTGTGCCGAAAAGGTTTTTGTACCTTAATAAGTGTTCTTGTAACGTTCGCGATCCTACTTCTAGCATTTTTTTCTTTTAATTTTTAAATTTTTATTTTATTTCAACCACTTTCATATCTCTAGCCATTGCAGGAGAAGCATCAATACACCCAGAATCACAATCAATCGTCAACTGTTTTCATATTTCCCTCGTAACCACGATCTTATCGATCGAGGAAGGGTATGTACGGCACATCGAGCTCCGAATCGAAGGCAATAACAAGCAATAACATATCGGTAAAAATAAAGATCTTATTTTGTAGACTACGGCATAAAAAACATGATTTTAAGGACGTGGAACGCATCATTCTCGAGTCGACCCTGATAGCGAATCGCCGAGCGCTAAAAGCGCCGAGCGCCAATTTTACAGAACCGAATCGAAAATCCACTGTCGAGTCTCGAACCGCAGGGCTTCCCTATCAGAGGCACTGCAATGACATCAGTTGAAGCCCTGAGCCTCCTCTATTGGTAATAGACATGCCGAGAGACCGGTCAGGAGCTTAGAGCTTGTCCCGGCTGGGGACGGTGCCCCGCTGGTGGGAGGTACCTGGTTGCG